TCAGAGACAACTCACCAGCCATATACACAAACTCAAGTGATTTATTACATAAATTGAGGACCTGAAGGTGTGGTTTAAGCTTTGTTTTCCATGGCTTTAGGCCTATTAATGAGTTACAAAGGGTATTTCCAAGAAGGGAGGTGGGTATGATGAGGCATGTGTGACCTCCCTTCTCATGGCCATCAATTCAACCTTAGAGTATCTCTGGGGTCCATTCAGTCAGCTGCAAGGCTTAACATTTTATTTTAGTTCGCATAACAAAGCAGGCACCTGGAGTTTCAGTAACCACATCCTACACATGGGCAAGTCCACAAATAGAAGGCTGAACATTTTTCAGTTAAAATTTGGGTAACCCAGAATATTATCTCTGTATACCTTTTATTGTTTATTTATTTAGTCTATCATTCAAACAAAGGTATTTAATCTCTTATTCTAAGAATTAAGTTAAGTGGTGTGAAGAAAGAAACTCTGCACCGGGAATGTGAATCCCTGGTGAGGGGTTGGGAGATGCTAGTCCTGACTATGAAACCTGCTAAGTTTTTTCTATATTTATTCAACACAGATCTAGGGGAAATTAAATATATTCCAGGTACTGTTCTAGGCATTAAGAATACACCATGAACCAAACAAACAATGTCCCTATTCTCACTTAGGACAAAACCTCTCTTGTTCCAGTTTTCTGAGCTTTAACTGAAAATAATACCAGTCTTTCTTACTCTACTAGGTGGGTAGAAAAGTGAAAATGAAGTGGTATATATGAAAGTGCTTTGGGAAATGTAAAACACTAAGAAAATGCAAGGCATGATCTTACCACTAGAGATCTGTAGACCCTCAGCAAGTTTCCCTGTAAAACTCTTCTTAAATAACTGATGATAATTTTCTCTCTCATCTAAGACTTCCACAACCATCAAAGAAGCTAAATAAACATTACACTCTTTTAACCATAACAAGACTACATATTTTTTGAAGTCAGCTATTTATGTCTCAGGATGTGGTTGGGGAGTACAGGAGGGTGTTTTCCCTCCTGCCGTGTTGTACCCTCCATACCAAACCACACTTCTGTCTCAGGCCACCGTGGGGCTGGAGAGTAATGAAATTAATATTTTGAAATATTCAGTCCATTCAGACAAAAAGTGTGTATAATGCTTATAAAATACAAGTCCTGAGCCACATACAGCAACCCCGAGGAAGGTGCAGTGCAGTGGGTGTTCACATCTGACAGGTGACTGCTCTGTGAGAAGGTGAGAGCACAGGTGGACCTGACAGGACTCCCCCACGACAGTGCAGGGGGTTCTCAGAAAGAGAGGGTACTGGTCATCAAGGCCCAGGAATCCCTTATTAATTCACGTAAAATTGCACTTTTAGATTTCACATCAACTCTATTAGGATTTAGTATCAGTCAAATAACTGAAGGAGATGTCCCTAGCTTGTTCCCACAATTGGCAGGATGTGACTTGTTGACCAGCAGAGAGAACTATTCCTCAGGGCAAACAGCCAAGGACCTGTGGTTTCTCATGCGAGCCAAGGTTACCTGTTATCTGCACACGGTACCAGACGGTAAAGGATAGAATGCAAACATCTTCTTCTCTTGTGCTACGCAACCAAGCCAGGCGTCTTGTTATCCGCAAACGGTATCAGACCTTGAAGGGGATCTCTTGTGCTATGTCTAGAGGAACAGGTGCTGTTGACCCATGGCAAGTCACGTACCAGAAAGCAGCTGAGAAAGTAGCTGCAGGATGCTTGCCAAATTGAACAGTATAAAAATAAAACGACTGGTGCTTTAAGCGCTGCAGTCTTGTACCATCTTTTGTGTCTATGTGTTTTTTCATGTGTGTCTTTCTGTGTTCATCCCCCATCCTGCAATCAGGCCATGACAAATAACTTTCAACAAAATCAAAGGTAACAATGCAAGACACAACTCAATGTGCATGGAGAGTTCATTGGATATCTTCTATGTGCCTGGTGCTATAGTTTCAACAGGATTATGATGCCACAGCTTCTTTCAAGGAAGAAATATTGATTAGAAACATCACTGACAGGGAAAATCAAAACCAAATTTTAAAAGATAGAAGGTAGGTAGATTATTACTTAGAAGTTTCCAAAATAAAGATCACATTAAAAAATACTTTGTGTGCTAACAGTGGGATTTAGACATACAAAATTGATATAATAAACAATCCTCTACTGAAAGAGAATTCTTAGTCAATTATAATGACCACTTGGATGTACTTCCAAGGAAAATTTAAATAGGAAAATCATCTTATGGAAAGTAGTAATTTTCTCTGACTCAAGCAAAAAGTTTGAAACAGAAAAGACAAAATATAGTCATTTTTCTATTATAAAAGTAAAATAAAACAGACAATATAGGAAATATAGAAATGAAAGACAAAAATCCCCCATATATCCAACAGCAAAGACATGCTCTGTTGTGGAAAAATTTTTTAATGTTGTGGTGAACATACCATATATTCATATACATGCTGTGTATTTCATTTAATAGTAAACATAGGGAAAACATCTTCTGTTTCTATTTGGTCTGTTCATAGCTGTAAGACAAGTTTTTTTCTTTACACGTAGCCTTTATCCACAGCCTTACATGTCCTTCAGTGAGCACAGAGCAAAACAGCTGGAGGTCCACGCAGCTGACAAGTCGTCATGTCCCCAAACACAAAGTGCAAAGATAACACCAAATCCACACACGTTTATTTGAGTTTATTCCCAATAAAGCATCACACACTTAGGCAAGTATGAATAATAGCAGGTGGTATTAAATATTAGCTTAAGCTGTACTCCTGTTCTATGTTTAATTTCTTTAGGAACATCCATACTGTTCTGCACTAATCTACATTCCCACCAACAGTGAAGAAGGGCTGCTATTTCTCCATATCCTCCCCAACACTTGTTACCTATCTATCTGTCTGTCTGTCTCCTTCTCTCTCTTAAATAATGGCCATCCTAACAGGTGTGAGGTGATATCTCATTGTAGTTTTGATTTGCATTTCCCTGAAGATATTCAATATCACTAATCATCAGGGAAATACAAGCTAAACCTATTTTCAATAAAAACAAAAAAAGAATATGAACAAAGAAAGGAAGCCTTTAACTCAATCTCTTTACCACAGAGGTTTCTACCCTTTTGTCAGAGAGCTCTAGAAGTGCCAGTTAGCCACTGCGGTCTTCCCTGTTCACTTGGCGTCTATGCTATACTCACCAAAAGACTATAGTGTGTATAGTCTCTGTGAAGTGATAATCATGGAGAAGTATTTGCTTAACCATCCATAAAAATGTATCTAAAAACCTAATTTTTTTAAAAAAATGAATTTTTTTAAAAAAATGTACTCATGCTAAAATTAAGTAGAAGGAGAGAAGGAGGTGACAGAAGAACAGCCAGAGTGTGGAGAGTATTTTTAGGGAGAGGAAGATACAGTCATACAACGGCAACACGTCTGTGTAATGGTATAGCTTTTTTGCTTAACACCCTTAAGCCTCTGCCAGGAATGAAGGGCATCAAGTGTGATCTGAGGTGTTTTAAAATAGTGATAAGTACACAAGGTGGAGAATTTAGAAAATGCAAACACATATAAAATAGACAAAACAGTTTACAATCCCCACTAAGCAGACATGAATACTATGAATACTTTTGGCCCGCCTGAATGTATGTGTGTTCAGAGGGTGGTGACAGGCATGTAGGGGTATGTGTGTGTGTGTGTGTGTGTGTGTGTGTGTGTGTGTGCTTACCCAATCTTTTTTTCCACTTTATGTAATGAGTAAATGTTTTTGTTGTTGTTCATATTGGGATCTTACTATATTTTCACTCATCCATGATATGGTATTTTCTTATATTAATAAGAATAATTATCCCCTTGCATGGAGGTACTATGGTTTATTTAATCATTTCTCATTGGACATTTAGGTTTTCTCCCATATTTTCTCTAATTTAAATAACATTGTGGTAAACATAATTACATAAAAGTCCTTTCTATGGCACCTCGTATTTGCTTAACAAAGTTATTAGAAATGGAATTACAATGATAAATGGTACAAATTTTATTATACTTATTTTCTCTATTTCATAAAGAATGTACTTTTACTGTAGAAAAATTAGAAAATATAGGTACACACAAAAAAGAAAATTTTAATAATCCAAAATGTAAAGCCCAGTGACAACTGATTGCCTCATTTTGTTTTTTTGTTTTTTAGCATTTTTTCTATTCAGCTATAGCAAATGAATATGAGTCCATGGTTTTTCTTCTTTTTTAAATAAATATTCTGTCCTGCCTACATTATGATTTGCAGCTTTTAAAACTTGATGATATATAAATGATTTATTCTATTAAATGCACATATCATAGTTTTTAAGAGCTGTGTAGTATTTTACGTTGCAGAGGTACCATAATATATTTAGCTATTATTTTCAACATTTGGGTCAATTCCACATTTTGCTTCTATAAATGACACTATAAAAATCACAATGCATAGTTTTATATTTTACAAGTTAGTTCCTATAATAAATTCCTAAGAAATAGAATTGCTGGATCAAGAGGTATATTCTTCTAAGTTCTTTTGATATCTTTGTCTATATGCCACAAAATATTGTACCCATTTCTAATTCTATCAAAAGAGATTTTCTACATCAATAGCAACATTTTTCCTAAAATTTGCCAATCTAATAGGTAATAGATGTTTCCTCTGAAATATGAATTTGTGATTATTTGATTAACAAAGGATGAACATTTTTTATTTATTTAATGACCATTTTTACATCTTATAGTTTCAAATATATTTTATTCATTTTTCTATAGGAACTTAAGTGTTTATGTCTATAAATCATATACGCATACATGTACACATATAGTGGTAACCCATTCAGTTACATTTCTTGCAAAAATCTTCCAATTGTCCTTGGTCTTTTAAGTTTGTTCTGATGTCTCTTGTCATGCAGTAGTTTTTAATTTTAACGTAGGAACAATTCTCAGTCTTTTCCTTTGTGATTGTGCTTAGGTCTTATTTAAGAAATTTTATTTCTGACTTTGCCTCTACAGTTCCCATGATCTTTGCTGCTGCCTCCAAACGGCTCCCACTGCTACGTTTTTTTCTGAAGCTATTGTTTAGATTCAAGATTCAGGATGACTTGAATCCTATTATGTTAATTCTTTTCCTGTGGGATTAGTCAGTAAGAGGAAAAAATAACACTGTCTGATAGATAATTGCACATATTTCTCACATTTGATTTGAATATAGAATTCAAAGTCTTCTTTTGAAAACGCTAAAGAATCTGAGAGCAATGACCATGGATTGTGTATTAGCTTTGCCACGTTTGAAAAAATCATTATGGAGTATTGGATATTGCCTATGAGATGCACCAGGAAGATTTGAACAAAGCCTCATCGTATAATAGATGAAGAAATGGAGACCCAAAAGAACTGAATCACTTATTTAACTTCACATGGCTAATCAGTGGCGACACTGGCATAGAAATTCAAATAAGTGCTCCCACTTCAAAGTTGCTTCAGAACACGAGGGAATGCAAAGCTTTGCTCTATTCTAAAATTTAGCGAAGATGTATGAAGCGTGTTCTCAAATACAGGAAGGTGTTTTCATCATTATCATCAACTGCTAGATCACAAATAATGGCCTTGTTCTCTCCAGAGATTCCTCTTAGACATTACATTCAGAATATACTAAAACAAAAAGAACTCACTCCTTACTTAGCAGAACAGTCAGGTTGATTGAAATATATTTTCCCCAAAAGAGAAACCCTTAGAGACTTTTTACATTTATGCTGGCAAATAAATGTTAATTCTTTTGTTCTAAGACTTTCTACCTGTCAGAAGATAAAATTTAAAATTTCTCCTTTTTCATAATAAAAACCTATCTTTTACAAAACAACAGTGGGATTTTTCCAAAGCTTAAGTCAAACAAGTAGTATTAGAAATGAAATTGGATCTTGAGAAAATATTGCAACTGAATGAAAACACTGCTATATCCCAAGGTCTCACAGGTAGTAAAAAGTCTTGGGAGAAAGGAATTGTAGTAGCATTTTCAGGAACTAACTCTAACTTTCATCTGACCTGTTAGACTTAAATTTTCAAATAATTCTACTCTTGTATATACCAAAAGCCATCTTATCCCTACAAGATTTATTTAAGAAACCATCAGAAAAAACTATTCAATTAATTTTTGAGTTAATTAGCAATATGAATGCAAAGCTTCCACTTTCTTCATTTGAAGAAAAATATTTTTTTCAACTCTGACTTTTATTTAAGTCTCCAGCCAAGTTCAGTTGAGTTCTCTTTCACCTACCTACACAACTATATGTATCAAATATGATCCTAATTTTAAAAATGTTTCTCAACTCTGGATTAAAAGAAGAGGAGGTTGGAAATTTTGCATGAAAACATTTCTTTCTCTTTTATGCTTCGCAGAAATAAAAACCTCTTTCAAATTAGTTTTTTTTCCCTAAGGGAAGGAAATCAAAGTCCCAATATATTATTATGTCCACATTCCTAACCCAAAATAAAATAACAACAAAACAACAAACAAGTAAAAAAAGCACTGATAGTCTGATATGATTATAATATTAGATATGAAATCAGAGACAAAAGGTACAGGGAACCCTCAAGAAATTCTATCCCAGAAAGGTTTCAAATAAAAATTAAGACATCAAGTATAAGACCTTTGCTTAATAAAGAAATTGATATCTAAGGTTTTTCTTTTTAGAGCAGATTTTATGTTTACTTTTATGTTCCTTGTGGTTAACATAATGATTCTTCACTACAAAACCCAAACTGCAATTTCAATCAAACTAGGAAGTTAAATACGATGGAGGTTTAGGAATAAAACTTGTCCTTATTTTTGAAATTTTGTCAACAGACACTCTATTCATTTCTTTTCAGAGGTTTCTGAAGCCACCTTTAAAATAGAGATCTTTATAAAAAACTTAAAAGGATTTTGTTTTATACTTACCTAAGGCTAGGGAATAAATTCCAGCATTCTGTGTACACTAACATGCTAGCAATATACACTTCTGTCCTGGCTGCATGTGAAATTTTACCTCCTAATTGCTTAGTATTGAGAATTTCATTGTAGTTTTAACTCGAGGCTTTAGCATTAAGAATTGCAGATGTGGCACATTAGTTTTTTTCAAGAATATAAGTGCTATGCCTTGTGCAAAGATGAAATGTTTATCTTGAAGGAACTTTTCCTTTAATATCCTGCAGAGTGGGTCGGGATGTCTTGTGAGAATAGGCTTTCTTGTGAGATGACAGTCTTCAGAGGCAATCTGAAATGAATCACACAAGATTTGCTTCTTTTTGCTAAACATAATTCCATCTTTTCTCTCCACTCCCACCCCATCCACCTCCATCCTCATCTCTCCTAGGGGGTTGCTCTGGGAACAAGAGAAAAGAATCATCACACAACCATATAACAGAGTTTCCCAATTAATGAGCTATTTCCAGGGATTATATCACTCACTTTTTGATTACATCACTTGCTCGTTGTACACAGGCATGGGCTATGGCTGCAGTTCACAAAATCAAATGGCTCATTTATATTCCTCACTGGGAAGAGTAGGAAACTATATTACCATTTCCGAGGCCTTCAACCAGAAAGCCAATATAAAGGCAGCAGGTAAAACCAAATCAAAATTAGTAAAATTCTCTTTCCATAAATTTGACAGTAAAGGACAAATGTCCAACTCTAGGATAGGATTTCACACATATGGTCACATAGTAAAATGAAACATGGGTTTTCTTTGCAGATCTTCCCTGTGACTTGAGATAAGTAATTCATCCTATCTGATGTTATTTGTTTATATGTAAAAGGTTAATAATAATTACAGTTAGTAACAACCTCCAAGGATCAAATTAAATAATGTCCCTGAGGCTTGTAGTTAACCATAAAGCACCATCTAAATGTGACATACCATTAGGAAATTCCATTAACACGTATATACAAGAACCACATAGGTGTTGTTCATATAATGAAATGTTTCCCAGTCCCTCTATCTTCAGTGATATTCAGCGCAGTGACCATTCCAAGTTGGATTCCTCCTAGGGCAGAACCTAACTAAGCACAGCACCTGGGCACAGGTAGTTCAGGTGCGACGCTAGGAAGCACAAGAGAGGAAGTGGGAGAAGTGTGTCAGAGTAGCAGGAATGAAAGAAAATTCAGTAAAGTGTGTAATAGCAAGTTGGTTAACTCTGCGGGCAACTGGGTTCAATCTTGCTGGGGACAGTCCTCAGAATCTGTCCCTAGAAGATGAAGAGGGCCCCCTGGAGATGAACCCCCTCCCTGGCCACTTTGCCACCACCACCAGGGTGGCTGCTTGAGGCTGCGTAGGAGAAGGTCAGAAGCCAACAGGCAGGGAAGACACACCGAGCTTGGCTGGAAAGCTGCCCCCTGCTGAGCCCTCCAAGGCAGCCGTAGGGCACGAGGGGGGTGGTGTCTGCCGGGGAAGCTGTGTGTGGCAGTGCCACCTACAGCGACATTTCCGCGCAGAGAAACACGGCGCCATTTAGGAGAGTGCTCACTGAGCTAATGCGACCTAAATTTTCTGCGGTAAGCATCCCTTTTCCCTCTCTGTGTTCAACTCACTAACACTATGGATCAAGTTCTGGAGAACAAAAGAGCCACAGGGAGAAAAGAGCTCTGACTCGGTGGGGGCAAGGGCAATATATGTAACCTTAACAATAGATGTACCCCCATAATATGATGAAATAAAAAAAGAAGGAAGGATAACTGAAAGGAAGATACTGTCTTCCCACTTGCCCCCAGGTACCTTTCCCTTTGTCTGCTTCAGAAGGAGGAGGAATGAGTTTCTATTTGTTCAAGTAATTTTAAAATAAAAAGAAAATTAAGATGAGGGCAGAAGATACACACAGGATCAGAGAAAACACAGAGGAGGAAGAGGAGGAGGAGGAGGAGGAGGAGGAGGAGGTCATCCATATATGTCTGCTAGGTGAACAGGATTTAGGGTTTCCCGGCTTCTAGGGAAGGCCTGCCTGTTTGTTCTGTGTCAATTCTCAGTGACTTTCAGGCAAAACCTGAAAATTCTTTTCTTATTGGAATGACATTGTATGAAAGCGTGAAGCAAAGTTTTAACTTCTGGCAAATATTTAGGTCATAACTGACTCATCAGATGATGGAAAGTCAGGGTAAGTCATTTCATCCAAATGAAGGCTGCAGCTCACTGAGGAAGATGAGGAGCTATCGTCATTTCCAAGAGCCTCGGGGCTTTTAGAATAGTTGCCAAGCATGTTTATAATGAAAACTTAAGATCTTCATTTGCTTCCAGAAAAAAACAATTAGAATTATGAAACATTTTTTTCTTTTCAGCTTCCCTTCCTGTCTACATAATGTGAGTGAAATTTCTACATAATGTTCGTTTCAAAACTATCAAGATTAAATAATAAATTGAATAAATGTCCTTTTTGTCCTTAAGACCTTTCTAGTTTCTTGGGGTTTAGCTATTGTTTGTATGGTTTTGTTTTGCTTTTATCTGTTTGTATGGTTGCTGCTTCTCTAAAGCACATACAGATTATCTTCAGGCTATATTGTAATTTCTTAGAGACACAAAGATGGCATAAGACATAACACAGGGCTTAATTTCCAAAACAGGGCAGATTTCCCTACCTATTGACTAAAACAGATTTACACTACTAGAAAGTATATCAGTGTTCCTCAATGTTAAAAATATTAATAACTAAGTAAATAAAAATTAATATTATATGTATTTTATGTGTTATGCTTTAGAAACCCGATATTTAAATGAACAGTTTAAATCTATTTTTATCTTCAAAATGAAAATAAAAAGTTCCTGTGTGTAATGAACCTAAAATAAACTGTAAACCACTATAACCACGTCAGTCACTATCAACGTGCCATACCCAGCTACATCTGCTGCGTAACATTTGGTTTCCCGCCTACAGAAGAACCTTTTTGTTTAAATAAAAAGATCAAACATCTCAAAATACTTGTAATTTACCACAACAGCAGTGACTGCATCGCACACTCCCACAGGCAGCCTTGGGAGCAGAGCGCGGCGCTGTGCGCCTCTGCAGGCGCCGGCTGCCCTGGCGCGGGAACTCCCGAGTCAGGAGAGTGAAATACAATGACATTGTTCACACCTGCTACCGCTATACGCACAGGGTTTCTGTTTGCGCTACCAAAAACCATTTGCTTTATTTTCAATTATTTCTTTTAATTCTCCAGAATCTATGCTCGAGGTTAAACAGGGATTTTGCTACAGATGTTACTACATAGCAAACCGTCATGTGTTATCTCAGAAAAATAGAAATGCATCCCCCCTTTGCTTGGTGAATATGAGAAAGAACTGGTTGCCCTACAATCTTAAGTTGTTTTGAAGACAATCATTTTAGATTTCTAGTAGTTAGTAGTAAAAGCAGTCCCCTTCGTCGAGCTGAGCGTGTGTATGTGTGTGTGTGTGTGTGTGTGCGCGTGTGCATGTGTGTTTAGGGAAGGAGGCAGTTTGGGGTATTTAAGTACAAAGGAAATGTACAAGCTGAGTCATAACAAATAAACAGTTCTCATATTATAACATGATGGACCCTTTATACTCTTAGGGCTTAAAAAACATCCCAAGGAAAACACAAAATTACTCTACTATAAAAATACTTAACATTTGGATCATGCTTTATAGTTTACACAGTGCTTTGAGCTATGTATGCATTATTTCATTTGCTCACCACAGGAACTCATGTTTTCCAAAAGCAAATGAGGGGCTTCATTACAGGGAAGATGCATGGTACAGACATTTAACTTACAGATTGCCTTTTAGGTACAACTCTTCCATCTTCTTAATCTTCTAAAAGAAAGCACCTGGACTATCATCAACTAAGGTTATAAATATCAAATATTACAAAAGAATGGGAAACAACCTGCTGGCACACAGGACATTTTAGAATTTTGCACTCATCTCCCATTTACCACTGAGAAGTTGATCTTTTTTTTTAGGATGATGGCTTGAATACTCAGCTATGGTCTGATAGACTTTCTTTTCAGTCATTTCTTTAGTTATGCTTAGCAAGTCTTAAAGTTGAAGTTTTATACAAACAGCTGCATGATCTTCACAGTCCTCACTTTAAATTCTGATTCTCAAGTTACATATAACGTACTGTCCTGGGGAGATCACCACTGTGGAGGCAGAGCTCTCCACCTGACCACTCAGAAATGGGATGTTCTTAACACACTGAGATAATGTTAATCTCTTCAGAACACTGAAGAGATTACTGAAGCTCCTAAACTACTGAAGTCACATTACTGAAGCTCCTAAAACTAATATAAGAACATTGCAATGTCAAATTATGTGTTTATGAACTAAATGTTTTACAATGAAGTAAGTGGATTGAGTAGTCTACCTTTGGTCCCCCGACCACTTAATCCATAGCATCTGCTCAAACTCAATTTTCTGGAACCAGACCCTACTCCCTGCCCACTGGTCCCCAATACTGCTTGGTCTGTCCCTTCAAGCAGCAGCAGTGGTGGGGCTATAGCCCTAGAATCACAGAGGTTGCTAATTAGTCCCAGTGGGCTGCTAGGGGCAATCTATGTATCTTTTGGTATGATGGAAACTCAGCCACCTTCAAGACATGGTCTCCAAAGTCAACCTGACCATCACATGAGAGAAGAAAAAAGGTGTGAAGAGGGCACCTTGATTCTCCACAGCCTCCATCAGAAGGGGCAGGGAGCACTCTGCTCTAACTCTGCCATTGAAGACTGCAGGCCCAGCCCCACTAGACGCAGGACCATCTGAGGAGTGTGGGTGCTGGCTGGGCAGCCACCTCCATTCTGCACATTGAGAGGAAACATGAAGCTTTGGTAGACAGTAGCCACCTTTGCCACAAGTGCTTTGTGTTGTCTCCAAATACTACAAGCTCCACTGTTTCCAAAATACAGATATAGAAAGACGTCTTACACATTGGCAAGTAGTTTGTTCTGTAAGTGACCTGATGTTAAAGTTGCAGTTCTGGGGGCAGAGTTCAAAGCTAAAAGCAAATTTCTGATCCTCTCTAAGGATAGGATTAGCCTTGTTTACTAAACCAACAGCAATCAGTCCTGATGTGAGAAAGAACACTCTAAATCCATGGAAAGCTATTTCTTTATAAATGCAAGATGATGTGTTATTTTTAGGTAAATGAAGCAACTCAAAGGAGGGGAAGGTGAGAAAGGGAGCTAATATTTATTGAGCATCTATATGTGCCACATGCTGCTGTATCCTGAGCTAGCTAGATACTCTCTGTGCGTTAACTCTGTTAATCT